GGGGGGAGAGAAAAGGAATCTTACTTGCCATAGTAGCTCAGGTTCAGGCTGCTGCCACTGGGGGATATCCCAGGGGGCTGGGCTGTGCCTCCCACGACAAAGTTCCCAGGGTAGGGTGGAAGTATTATTTCTTCACCCTAGATATACTGTTAAACATGGGGCTGCTCCTGCTGTGACAAAGACTTCTGGTGGGAGAAGCCATACCCACGCTCCCTCTAAGTCAGTGCCAGGGGCTGGTATGCTGCTTACCCTACCATGGTTATGCTATTGAATATTAACAGTTGAGATTGTCATACCACTCTGAGGCTTTTAAATGGCATAGGATATAAAAAATCTAAATAAATACATAATAAAGATATCTATATCATCACAAAGCCCTTCCTTAAGGGACAAATCATTTTTTTTTTTAACAATTAACAATCCTACCACCTGTGTCAAGCCTTTCTTTTTGGCAATGTCTTGAGTCCCAAGATTTCCTAAATTAAAAGTTAACCAACTTTAGACAAGAACTCACATGCAGACTACTGCAGGCATGTGCAGGTTAGATCTGCAAATCTTACAAATTATGTAGAGGTTGACATACTGCTTACTCTGGCAGAGTTTACTACCATGCACATTTAAATGAGGTCATTACGGTAAATAAGGAACTATGGATAGCAATGAATTCAGCATGCTAAACGGCATCTCTTTCAAGCACATCAAATGCAACTGATATGGTTAAATGAATAATGTCTTTATGAAGTCAGAACAGATGAGGGAAAATGGATGGGAATTAATTCAAACAATACTGAAATGATAAGGGTACGATGGGAGAACAGCTGCAAGCTGACTATGCACACATATGCAGGTGATTCACAATCTTAGCACTGAATCTAATACAGTTCAACTTCAGGAAGCTTAAAAAGAAGTTACAACTAAATAGGCCTGTCCCTAGAATCCAGTTAGAGTGACAGTATATTAGATACATAATGTATTACTGTTGTTTGTCCCTTTATCTCTGAGACAAAGCATTACGTGGGGCTGCAAAGGGACTACTCAGAAGCTGCAAACCATGCAAAATGAAGACAGACTTATATTAAAGCCAAGGATAATACAACTGTATACAGCATGAATACTGCCATGAGTAGCACAGGCTCCTGTTAAGTTTGAGAAGAGTAGTTTTTTGTCCTGACTTTAGAACTATAACATTTTTTTCCCTTAGAAAAAAAGAGACCATGTTTCAAGAATATCTGGAGCATATCAACAGATTATGGAAATTAGGCCATGAAGGCAGCTGTCAGATGATTCTTTTAGAGAACTGCTAAAAATATCACTGATCTATTTATTATAAAACAATGCCTCAATGTTGTTTCGGCATGGTGAGTTACACTCTTCCTCTTAATTCCCAGATTCATGACACATGAAACCTGAGAAAAAAAAACAGGAGATAACATCAGCCTCAGCAAGTGGAGGCTGAGGGGGGATTTGGTGGCTGCCTACAAACTCGTTAGGGGAGATCAGCAGCAAATAGGAACGGCCCTATTCCCCACAGCAGCACCTGGGGTGACGAGGAACAATGGCCAGAAGCTGCTGGAGAACAGGTTCAGGTTAGAGATTTGGAGGCACTATTTCACTGTGAGGGTGGCTAGGATCTGGAATCAACTTCCTAGGGAAGTGGTCCTCGCTCTTACCTTGGGTAAATTCAAAAAGAGGTTGGACGAAAACCTGTCTGGGGTCATGTGATCCCAGCGTGTGCTCCTGCCAGTGGCAGGGGGTGTCATACTAGATGATCTGTTCAGGTCCCTTCTGACCCCAAACTACTATGAAACCATGAAACATAAACATTTAGTTTATTTTCTAAGTTTTACTCCCTTTCCCAAGGTTTCATCAGGCAGTGACATCAAGGAAGAAGTATGAAGCTATATGCTTAGCAGGATTGCTGTTCACTCATCTGCTAGCAAACAGAATGATTTGAGATTTGGAGGCAGTGGGTGAGCTATGGCATTCTGAGGCTATCAAAGGAGGGATTTCTAGTGGCAGCGAGCAGTCACTTTCACCACCAACCCACTAGAGCAGGGGTAGGCAACCCCCGGCATGGGTGCCAGACTGTGGCACATTTTGCTTGGCACACATGCCTCTGGGTAGATGGTGGGGAAGGGGCCAGGATTGGGCCCCTTGTAGCTCCCCCAACATCCACCCCTAGCACATCAACATCTTACAAGTTGGAAGTTGTGGGTGTTTTCGGCACTCTGCCCAAAAATGTTGCCGACCCTGCACTAGAGTGAGTACTTGCCTATTTTGGGCAACTCCACTAAAGCAGCTGTACTACCAGAGCATGAGATACACTCTGGGAAGACACTGAACTTCTGAGCAGAGTACAGCAGCCAGCTAAAGTCACAGTCTTCGCACTTCTTTAACTGAATGCCAGATAGTAGTAGAAACCCTTACTCCACTCAGAACTGAAATCACTCTGCTCACAGAGATAAGGGTCCTCACCTGGCACAGAGGCACTCTGAGATGCACTCACCCAGTCTGGCTGGCAAAACAAGTTTTGTCAGCAAAAATGTACATACCAGAGTCTTGCTTAACTTACCAAAACGAAAGAAGATAAGGCTTAAAGCGAGCTTGAGTTTTGAGGTCTTATGTTTCTAGAGCATTCTGAAGAATGGGGAAGGGCTGGGGTCTTTTAGTTTTACACGTGCATTAGCACACTTTTCCTAAGGTGCATTAAATTTAGTACCTCCAATGTGAGCTACTAAATTAATGCGCAGCAGGCTGCCCTAATGTGCAGTTGTGCACATGCACGCTTTTTAGGTGACAATGCACAGTAACCTATT